AATACATGCAAAGTACCATGCTAATCACTGAAGAGAATAATTCGGAAAAAGAAATCATTGCAAAATATGCTTAAGGATTCATAAGAGAAAAATCCTGGAAATGCTCCCCAGCCCCCAATTTTCTCTCCTAATGCATCACTGATAAATCCTCTTAACTCTTCAATATCCTCATTTTAAAATGAATATAATAATCCAAAACTCCCTGTTTCCTCCTTGAAATTTTTCTAGTGGCTTAAATACCAAAAAGAAAATCTTAAACATAATAAGCAATAATTATAATCTATGAAATATTTTCTTTTAACAAAAAAATCTGAAGTTAACTTTGCCAAAAATGATTTCAGATACTAATGATATAAAAATTATGCAAAACAGCACACTGTTTTATAACAAAGATTATACTAAAATATAATATATAATACAATGAATAATGAAATTTTGCTCTTTTCCTATTAGCAAATGTAATGTTATCTCCCCCCAAAAAGAACTATCAAGATTTACATAATTTTTCTTTTTTTTTTTTTTTTTTGAAACAGAGTCTCACTCTTTTGCCCAGGCTAGAGTGCAGTGGGGTGATCATAGCTCACCGCAACCTCAAATTCCTGGGCTCTAGCGATCCTCCCGCCTCAGCCTCCAGAGTAGCTGGGACTACAGGCACGCACCACTAGGCCCAGCTAATTTTTCTATTTTTTGTAAAGACCAGGTCTCGCTCTTGCTCAGGCTGACCTGGAACTCCTGAGCTCAAGCGATCCTCCAGCGTTGGCCTCCCAGAGTGCTAGGATTATGGGTGTCAGCTACTGTGCCCGGCTCATACTTATTTTTATCAAAAGATTTCAAAAAGCTAAATAAAGCAAAGAGGGGTAAAATGACCTGTCAAAAGGTAATTTTTTTTTTCCTTTGATGAATATTTACTGAAGGCTTCAGGGTACCAGGTACAGTGCCTGGTGCTGTAGATAAAATGGTGCACAAAACAGGGGAAGGAAGACATAAATAATCAAATAATCCTCCTAAATACACAACCAGAAACCGTGGTAATGGTAAGGACCATTGCCCTGTGCTTGGGGATAATTTCATGCCAGGAATCAAAGGCCAACCTGAAGAAATGAAACCTGAGCAATTCTCCAAAGGACACCAGAAGTCACACCATGAGTTGGGTGCAGACGACCAGGAATGCAAGAACCTTCCAGCCCAAGGGTCTTCCCCATTTGTCCAAGAACGCGGGGGGCAGTGATTCAAGTGCTTTGTATCTGGAATTCCATGGTGCAACTGTGAGTCATGAGCACCTCACTGCGAAACAGCATTCCCTCCCTGCTGATACCCCTCGGAACCTGCCTCTTTGTCCCATGTCCTCTGGGACTGTCCCAAGTCTGGCCTCTCCCATCACTGAGGGTTTACGACTGGGAGACACCCAGCAGGAGGGCTGGTGTTTGCAGATGAAGCCAGGATTTGCCCATCCTTCCCTCCCATCCCCAACCCCCAAGGCCTCCGGACCTTCCACAGAAGTTGATCGAAGCCTAGCTTCTTCCTTCCAGTTCCTTCTAGGAGAAAACTCCAAAACCTCAGCCTTTCTTTTCACAAGGAAAGTTTGAGTTCCTGAGCTCAAAAACAGCTCAACAATGGGAAGTCTGCTGCTTTAAAAAAAAAAAAAAGAAACACTGCAAGTATTCTTTATTTTATAAGACCTTTTCCATTTTGGGGGTTGCGGGGGAGACGTACCATTTTAGAGACCACAGCTGCTTCAAGTTAATAAAATCTGAATTCTCTTTGCTTGGACCCTGATCACTAGTTTTAAGTTTAGGAAGCTGGATTTTTCTGACTATTTCTCTTCTTATGTTATGGATTCTTCGTTCTTGTGGTGGTAATAAAGTTGAGTGTATGGTTATTTTTTATTCCCAATTTAGGTTAATAATGATACATTTTACATCCAAGGCCTTATGTCACAAACGATATTGAGCTAATGGTTGTAAATAACATAAAAGTAATTACATATCTGGAATTTATCTCAGCATTTTTAACCAATTAATCTCATTGGTGATTTTCTTCCATTTAGTATTTAAATGTCATATCTTATGTCTAATGATTAACATTAAATTTCCGAACAAAATATTTAAAGATATGGGAGACTATGTTGTTATAACGAGTCAAAAAGACATGCAATTTAATAAGGGTTTAAAACATCATTTTAAATCATTTAATTAACTCTAATTACCGAGTTTCAGAACATTAAACACTATGTAGTTTAATATGCGTCTTACAGAGGAGAAAGAAGCAAAAATAAGAAAACTCCAAGTTAAATGGTATGATCTCAATTTTTTTCTACTCATAAAAATAAAAGAAGGAAAAACACTACAATATGAAGCAATTATCTCTAGATGGTGTGATTTCACTGTGGTACTTATTTTTCTGTACATTTGAGAAAATGAAAATGGGTAACTTTTACAATTTGAAAAAGATTATATCTTTAATACATGTTTTTGCTTTAGGATTGAAGAAATCAAATATAGAAACCCTGTTTCCAAAAATAGTCCTCTGTAGTATAACCAGTTACGTGTATATAATGAAAATAAAATCTTTGGCTAGCTCTAAACTATGGAAGGAAAGCTGCTTAGGTATGTAAAATAAAATTAAAAAATCTCTAGGAGCATATCTGGAAAGCAAGCAGGCAGATAATTTAAAGAGAAAGAGAGAGAATGAGAAAGTACTTAATATTACTTGAAACGTCCAATTTTTGTATAATGCGATAGTTCCTTCTAATGCATAAGTATCATTGCATAGATATTGTTTGGAAAACTAAATTTTCTTGATCTAGTACAGAACAATCCTTCCCCTATAAAACAAATTATAGTGAACTCTTTAGAAGATCCATCCCATCGAAACAGAAGTACAGGCACAAATAGATGAACTAGACGATTCAACCTTCCCTGGCTTTAAGGTCAGCAGCACATCCACCCACCCAGATGCACAAAAAAGTCAGTGTGCAAACCCTCCTTCCTCCTCTTTTCCCTGTCCTGTCTCCCTCCCTTGGCCAGGAGCTGGGACCCAGAGGACCTGGTAAGGTGGGGTGAGAAGTAGGTGACTGCAAGTTGCTACAGAATCCACTTGGAGGCCAACGAAAGTTCCCCAGGCTCCTTGCAAATGCACATGGTGGATGGGGGGGGGGGTCAACCCTGAACTTTAGTTGCCTAAATATGCAGGGTAAGCTTTCAATAACCTCTTAGATCATGGGCCCTCCTAAGCCTGTGAGTGTTGTCATTGGCTCTCACAAGCCCTGGAACACCCGAGATCTGCACTGTTTGATAGCCACGCAAGGGGATCGCCAATGGCTTCCAAGGACTTGGGTCTGCTCTGCTTGGCAAGCTGCAGGACGCTCCAGGTCTACCCCAGGAACTGTTCATGAAGTTGACAATATGCATCTTAGTAGGCTAAGAATTCGAGAAAAATGCTACAGCAGGGTTGGGAGACCCAGCTCCTATCTGAAACATGACTCCAGGCACTCTGAGAAATCTGAACACCCAGCCAGTCACCATTAACCAACCAGCCAGGGGAGGGCATTCTCTGGTTGATGATTCTCAGTGGGTTTGGAATTAACATTATGCCTACTTGGCAGGGCCCTTCCCAACCTAAAGGCTTAACTGGGGCAGAATTACTCAAAATTGTGTTTTTTTTTTAAAAAAATACACAATTTCACAGTTTCAACTCAGCAATATGTTGAATGAACTTCACCTTTTTTTTTGTTTCCAGTGCTTTTTTATGGAAGGGGAGGGGGTAACAGGCACCCCCCAATGATAATGGTGCTAATAAAAGATTAGGTTATGACACTAAATGAGGTCTAATCTACAAAATATGTTGACACAGGAATCCAAACAAAAAAAAACCTTCAGAACTTGTCTAAGAAGTTTACATTAAAGAGAAGCTCTCTGTTTGGCATGAAATCATCTTAAACACCTCTCACCCACTTGCTAATCTCCCTTTTGCACAAGGCTGTGGAACCTTCCACTGATATGAAGATGCAGTTTTCCCTGAGCATGAAAGCTACCTTGTATAATAGTTACGGCACGTGATACTCATTTCTCATTTAGGTAAGGAAAAGAGACTGTTCGCTTTCAAAATAAAGTTTGCATGTTGAAAGAGTGGATTTCAATAAAAGATTGAACAAATAATATGGGGAGAAGTCATGGTAGTATCTGAAGGACTGAAGTCTGGCCAAGGGTGGAATATATTATAGTCTCCATGTGCATGCAATTAAAACAAAAGGAAACAAAAGCCTAAACAACTAGAAACTATCTCACCACGAGAAATTACCTTAGTTCTTCCTCAGAATCAATATTTACATTCATGGAGGACATATAAAGCAGACAGTTCATTTACAAATCACAGATAATATTTTCTGTCGAGGGTGAAGCAGCCCTGTGACACTCACTGTCCCTAACAGGAGAGCATGAGCATGCAACATGGTAAAACTTATGTCTCTGCAGGTGTCACCGCCCCAGAATCTATGCGCAACAGGGCCAGCTCTCAATTTAACCACCGATCTGCAGGTATTAACATGACTGTAATCCAATAAGGCTTGAAACCTTTTTTTCCTCAAATCTCAAAAGAAGAAAAGCATTTTGGAGAGCCCTTTAGTGTGCCAAGTGCTGTGCTGTGACAATTTGCATGTACCCTCCAAATCTGATCGTCACAAAGAATCCTATCACTTAGGATTATTATTGTCCCCATTTTATGGATGGTGAAACAGAGGCTAAGAAAGATGGAATCAGATAAGGGGTAGAATTCAACCTCCGGGTACTCCCCACCCCCTGACTCTACAAAGGTGTGTTTGGGGACAGAATCCTCTGGAGCCCTGTTTTTTTTAAAGGCACAGATGGAGAAGCAAGACCTTCCATGAGAAAAATCACCCCATCGTTGTATCCCAGGTAGAAGAGCTGGGAAATCGTTTAAACGTATCTGCTCAAAGGCACGTCAGATGCGTTTTGCTCCACAACTGGAAACACTCAACTTACTCTTCATTCAAGGCAGTTTAAATGCACCTTTGTAAGCTCATTTGTATCTTCCCCTTTTCTCATAATCTTGGGACGGGAACGTTCTTTGGCGGATGGAGCCCTTTCCATCAGCATCAGATTAATTTTGCAGAGATGGAGATGAGTTAGCCCAGCCAGGGTCTGGGAAAAAAATGAATTATTAAGAATCACAGTCCTTAACACAGAAAGCCCCCTAGGTCCTGGTGACCGCCAACGAGAGCCATGGCCCACGTGCATTGAAGGGAGTCTGGCACATTTGTACACTCAACTCTATTTGCAAGGTCTAAGTGTGTTGGCCAGAGAAACAGGGAAACATGGGGAATGGGAACCAAGGAGAAGAACAAGCAACTCCATGTAAACAGCTCATCTGGAGAAACCATTTAAAAATTGACACTGCCTATTAGTACGTAACCTAACCAGGGAAAGGGATCCAGACAATTAACTTTCTCACTTTCATTTAGGAACTCTTCTCACTCATCTACTGGGTGGTTGAATAAAATACATCATTTGTCCGAGATCTGGGTTTTTAAATCCTAGATCTGCAAACAGGATGATCGTCTCTTCTTACGTTTGCCAAGCTGCGCGTTGGTGGGGCTGCTTTTAAAGAGAAGCGGTAGTAAACATTCTGGAAGCTTCCAAGCTTTCAACCATTAGGAACATTCTGGAAGCTTCCAAGCTTTCAACCATTAGGAACATTCTGGAAGCTTCCAACCTTTCAACCATTAGGGCTCACCCCTCTTACACAAACCCCTGTACCTTTTCCCTTTGTCGTTGTTGCTGTGACCACAGCAAGTTGCATTTTGGTGGCTAAGATGGGCTAAGCATTCCAGCTGATTCCTCAGCAATTCAAGGAGGGAGAAGGTTGCCACACCCCTCAGGGACAGCCAGGGGGCAGGGGTCTAGAGCTTCCAGGGCAAGGCGCATGGTTTCCATTTGCTAACAGAGACATCTCAAGTGTGTCCTAAATATTTGGGCGCCAGAATGTGGGAGCTTTATTTGTCAGCATTTGACGATGCTAGTCCACTCACTCCCAAGGATACCGATATTACCTGAGAAACGCCAATCTGAGATACTGTTGAAAAATAACGCGTTCAAATGACCAACACGGCAAAGGCAGCTGTGGTCAGTGGTCATTGCAGATGCTTAAGCACTTCTCTCTACCCATTTTCTGCAACATGTGTTTGGGAAATTTTAGCCAGAACTCTCAGAATACCGTGTCTCAATTTCTAGACAAACTTAAAAAAAAAAAAAATTCTCTTTCCTCATTTCCTAATATCATTTTAAACAAATCATCACAACTTGGTACAACGAGAAACCCAGAGAAACCCACATCATCTTTTACGACTGGAAAGGCTGTTGGTTTGTTTTCCACTGGGAATCCAAGTGAGCTTGCTGAATTTCAAGATCTACCTGCTTCCCAAACTCTACTGCCGACACTCACTGGGAAATTTATAAATTTTGGTCCCAAAACCATCTTCTGATCTGAGCCAATTTCTAAGCTATAAAAAAGCACAGAAAAAAAAAAAATGAAAAAAAAAAAAGAAAAGAAAAATGGACTCAACATATCCTCATAAAAAAAAAAAAAAAAAGCACAGAAAAGCTTAAGGCCTTACCCCATTCATGGAGATGCACAAAATGGCATCTCAGTGCTCCTTTCCTACCTCTCCCCAGCATTACACATAGCAGGAGGTAACGGACCTGCAATGCCTTCATGTCAAACAGATAAAAAGAGTCCACGAAGACTTCATTGTAATCACCAAGGTCAGAACTAATAAGAGAAATCCAGCAGGTGAACGTAATTGAAGACAGTGTGCTCACAGGGCTAGACGCACACGAGATGCCTCTTCTAGAAAACTGAGCTGAGAGACCCCTGGCATTAGGAGGTGTTTCATTAGATGGAAATTAAACGTGGTTTCCAGAGTCCCTTTGGAAAAAATAAGCAAGTCCCCATCCCATGTAAATTCAGCCAAAGTAGGTCATTACTCAGACCTCACTTTGCTTTTGGAGAACTTGTGCTACAAAACCACGCTCCCTGCCCACAGACCTATACAAGGGTCACCCCGATTTAACACAAGCCATCTACTTTGGCCTTCATTTAAGTACAACTGCTTCTGAAGGTCACATCATATAAGGGCAAACATGGATGTGCACTCCCCACCCCACAAAATCAAGGCCTTAAATAGAGAGCACAGCAACATGGCTTTTCCACTTTAGTTTTTTTTTCCTTTTAATCTGGGGACAAGGGAAGAAACTTCTTTACCCCAAAAGGTTCCAAGATATGCTTCATTCTTAAGGTGAGAAGTAACTGAGAAATGTGTATGTTTTAAGTGGTACTGTCAATATACAACATTTCTAACTCGGCTTAACCCTTTTTTTCCTGTAAATGAAAAACACATTTTCAGACTTTCTGGTGGTGCTGATTTTACTAACCATGGGCTGCAACTTGCCAAATGATATTTTCTGTTTAAAAAAAAAAACAAAAAAAACGGTGGAGGGTGGATGAGCTAAATAAATCAAAAGCAGTATTTAGGAGAAAGCTAAGCAGACTTGCAGAAAGAATGTGCCTCTCAAGATCACATTTACAGACTAAAAAAAAAACTTGTATTTTTTTTTAAAAAGTTACCTGTTTTGACATCTGAGTGTGTTGACAATTTTGAGTCTGAAGTCTAACTTCTCCAGCTACTGTTTTTATACAAATTCAATTTATAAATCGAGACATTTGCCTATTATGGGCTCCTGCAAATTTCCTATGATAAATAATAAATTTTTCAAATGCCCGAAATTTCCACCACCTTACAGCAGAGCTAAGTAGTCGTGACAGAGACCATATGGGCATAAATGCCAAAAATATTTCCTATCAGCCTTGAACAGAAAAGGTTTCCAACCCTTTCTCTAAATGCTTACTAGCTGTTACAACAGCCTACGACTTGGTACATCTCTTACAACGGCCTACGAGATTATTCTAATTTTACAGAACAGGCAACTGAGGCCCAGAGAGGGAAAGCAATCGGACAGAAGTAACACAGCAAGAAGATGCAGAGGCAGAACTTGAGGCAGTCTGACTCCAGAACCCAGGCTCATACCAATAACGCAATCTCCCTGTTATTGGCATTGTAGGTAATTATGACCACAAACTTGCACTATCTCACATACCTTCTTCCCTGGGCTTCTGGGCTGCTGTCAGCGTGGTTGCTGGTTTATAGGCTGTTTGTCTCTCCAGTCTTTGGTATCCTGCCCTCTTCCCATCTCCTCTCTCTCTCTCTCTGCCTGGGCCAGATATCTCCAATCCGGGGCCTGACCATACCAGGCGAATCATTTAAAGCAGACATGTAACATCTCGAAGATTCTGTTTTCCCACGTGAAAAAGTTTCTGGTGATCTCGGAGCCACCCGCCCACCTTGCAAGGCTACTCAGACTTTAGTCGTTGTCTCCCCTCTCGACCCTACCACGTGTCCTCGTCCCACCTTTTATTGAAACCAGCACCTGGGTCTGTTCTCGCTGGCAGCCAGGTGGCCTCAATTTGGGCTACGTGACATGGGAACCAGGATCTCTTGCCCTGCCCCACCTGCGTTCCATCAGCTCTGCTAGCATCTGTAGCCAACTTCACCTTTCAAAGCTCAAAAGCCCTCACTGAGGTTTCTTCTCTGCCCTGCACTTTCTCTGCTGGTCGAAGAGGCAGTTCTAGTTCTCACCTGATTGATCTCCGTGACATTGCTACGCCCATTGGGCAATCCAGTCCCTCTTGGCGCTTTTCGCTCTTCCAGGTCATTCCTGATGCCACCCAGGAACTTTCCTTCTCAGCTTCATCACCACCACCCTCTTCCTCCCCTATAATTGGCGGTAAGCCTCATCATCTAGAACCCGGGCTCTGAAATCCAGAAAACATGGGGCTGGAATCCTAGCTCTGCTTCTTAACCAGCTGTGCACACTGGACAAGTCTGATCTCTAGACTTCACTTTCTCCATCATTAAAATGGGGCAATAGTATGATTATTGTGTTGCCAGTAAGCACGCTGTCCGGCATACAATTAGCACTCAATAAATGTCAGATGGTTGCTCTCTTGCGATTTTCATTATTACCACCACTACTGATTTCTACTTTTACAAGATCAAAGTTACCCAAGCACAGAATTGTTAATTAAAGTAACTGTATACACAATATCAGAAAATACAGCTCTCTACAATATTGTGTATATATTGCCTGTTCTCCAGGGACATAGGGAAATGCTATAACCACTACCAATTAACAGAAGTGAGTAAGTCACTTAATCCCTCTAGGCCTAAATCTCATCTGAAAAGGAGAGAAGGTTGGATGAACTGATGATAGTTAATGTTTCTGAATATTGTCACTCAGAATCGTGCTGATAAACCTGTAGGCTGATTGCAACTTCCATTATGCCCTGGGAGGACAGGACAAATCCTATAGGTTTCCAAACGGACTCTTTGTTGAAAACTATGTTTCCAATAATAATAATAAAAAAAAATCCTTGTTCTCATAAAAGCCAGGTTTGTCTTCATTCTTCAAACCATTTCCTGAGGCTTATCCTGTAAGTTAAGGATTTTCATGTCAAAAAATTGAGTGACATCTGAGAAAAGTAAAATGAACTGGATACCTTTACTCAACTTCAGCAAAGTCAAACATTTGAGAGCCTGAATATTCAGAGTATTAAGGTAACTAGGAAAAAAAGCGAGGGAGTACAAGCTAGAAATTCCCAGATATGACATGATCATTGTTTGACGATTTTAAGTTATATTTCAAATCTCTGTTGTAACAGAGAGGAAGAAGGATAGTTTGATTTTTGCAACTTTGCAATTAGACTCACTTGAACCAATTTCTTTTACTGGTTTACACAAAACAATACCTCCTCTAATACAAAGAATGCAGAAAATCTCAACTTATAAACAGGCATGCTCACAAATCTTTGGATTAAAGTGCGATTTTAAAATCCTATCAAATATTCGCTTGACCTGTGAGTACAACATTCAACTCACAAAGAGAAAATGCTGAAGGAGAAGAACTTAGAACTCTTCGGGGGGAAATCTGAATTTATGGCAGGAAGTCTGCATCAAAAGAACCATCACTTTGCCCTAATTCTGTAAAACACTTATCTGAGAGCCAAAAAAAAAAAAAAAAATGCATCCATGAAGGGGGATAAACCTGGTATGGCAATGACCACTTATTGCCTACTCATCTCTTTCCTGCCTTTTCTTTGATAGCACAACCGGTATTTTATTCACCTGCAGAGAAAGCGAATAAATCTCAATTGGTCCAAGCCATTCATGGTAATTTATGGTCCATGATTAGGTAGGGATGTAACCCATTCTGTCCAGCAAACTGCAAATGAGGGGCAGTATGTTCTAGGGCTTCTGGGAAAGCCTCCTTCACACTTTCAAAGACAAGGGACCAATGTCTTGCTGGCATCTCTGTAGACTGTCTTATCTACAGGAAATGCCTGGGCCTGTGGCGGCCGTATTTGACCATGAGGAAACTACTCTGACATGCTAAGGATGACCACAAAGAACATACTTAGGCCCTTGAGGCCACCAAGCTACTCAACTCACTGAACTGGGAATCACGCACTTCTTATACCTAAGACAACATGCTTAAGCTATTTGGATTTGAAATTTCTATTACTTGTAGCCCAAAGTACCTACAATAATAGAGTTGGACCAATGGAAAAATATAAGAGAAAAATCTCGTTGTTATTAGACATGTGCTAGCCAGGTCATCCAGAATGAAACTGTTCTGGTTCACTCCTATGGCAAGATGTTAGAAGAACAAGTTTTAAGAATCTGGTAGTTTGATCAATGTGGACACTTGTCACCAAGTAAGGAGCTTTTCATAGTTTTCCCTGATACTTCCAACATCAACGTAGACAATACTTTTATTACCTCCACGTGTAATTATCTGCAATCTGTAAAATGGGGATTTAGGAACAAGATTTCCAATCTATATACGAATACAATCAGGATAAAAAAATTAGTAACTACAAAATCTGTAAACAGATGCCAGGTATAATTGTTACTACAAATAAAAGTTCGAAATCATGATCTGAGTTCCCAAAGTTTAGAAATTCCTCAGAGGTTTAAAGCAAAACTGATAATTAACAGATTTTATCAATTCTATTCAAGCAGAACAAGCACTGAAACTGCTTCTAAGTCCAAGTCCATTGAATTAAAAAAAAAAAAGAAAAAATCTCCCCCAAAGCAAGTCTTATTTATCTGCCAGACATGATCCAGGGAACTCTATACATATTAAAGTATAAACCTGGTTCATTTGTGAAAATGTGTTTTTATAACAATTCTCACTCCTCCAGTGGCCTTCCTCCAGTTCTACTTTTTGCCTTTTGAACATAAACACTCAATGAACAGCTTAGTCTTCAGACTGTCAGCTACTCCCCTCCTTCCAGAAGGATTCACAATGGCCCTCGGTTGTGTCAGGCCCTGTCCTAGGGTATCAGAGAGACAACGATGCCGTCCTTGTCTTTATAGAGTTTACGTGTTTATGTTCTAATGGTGCAGGCAGACCAATCAATACAACCAAATAATACCAGCCAGTTGAAAGACCTAATAAAGAATAAGAAATGAAATTAGTGGCTAATGTTAATAAGGACATAAAGTCTCTTTTGACAGGTAAGAGACAAACTGTAAGGATAAAAGATTAGGGATAAGAATTAGGGACAAGGAAGACCCGGCCGAGTGAAGGGCCATAAGAAGCCAAGAGTCAAATGTCTGCTTTCTATTTGAAAGGAAGCCCCAAACCACCTCAGTGATCTGAGCATTACCAACCTGCCCATGTGCCCAGAGCTAGTTATCACAATGGACAGGAAAGTCCTCTTCTTTTTAAATTCAAATTTTAAAAATCCTGCAAACGATTAAATGCCTTTATTATAAGTCTCCCCTGAAAAAAGCAGGAGGGTTTAGTTGCTCCAAAAATAGACACTCCTTGCTGTCATTTCATACTGCAGCATCAAAGTGGGAAAATGAAAACTAGTTTTGACTTGAGAAGTTTTACAGCCTGGGAGCTACCTGAAGATCCAAAGGGCTAAGTCTCCAACCAGAACTAAGAATCACTTTCCTACACAATGATGGCAAGTGGATGTCAACACTATAGCGATCAACACGCGTACACTCCCAAACTGCCTCCCAAATAGCCAAGTGAGACAGACCCACGGCAGGTGTAGGACTCCGGGTTGATTCATTTGATAGGGCAGCACGTGACAGCTTGGAATCTGCTGGCCAACAACCAAACCCTGTTTGTGACATACTCTTTTTATAGCCTAATACGTGATGTTTGCGACACGCTTGCAGAAGAAGTAAATAATGAGCCACAGCACCCAGAGGAAAATAAAATCCTGTGATTAAAATAAGTGACAAGCATATGTGTATACCATGAAGTACTATTCAGTTTTAAGAAGCAATGGTGATCTAGCACCTCTTGTGTTTTCCTGGCTAGAGCTGGAACCCATTCTACTAAGTGAAGTATCTCAAGAATGGAAAAACAAGCACCACATGTGCTCACCAGCAAATTGGTATTAACGGATCAACTCCTAAATGGACATATAGGAATTACATTTATCGGGTGTCGGGCAGATGGGAGGGAGGAGGAGGGGTGGGTATATATAAACATAATGAGTGAGATGTGCAATGTTTGGGGGATGGTCACGCTTGAAGCTCTGACTCAGAGGGGGGCAGGGAGGGGGGCATGGGCAACAAACGTAACCTTAACATCTGTGCCCCCAATAATATGCTGAAATTAAAAAAAAAATAAAATAAATAAAAATAAAATAAGTGACAAGCATATTTTGGGGCAACACTTATTTGATTAGGGTAATCCAAATATACATTGGTTTTTTTAAGAAATTTGCACTGTTAACAGGGAAAGGGTAACACATAATAGAGCCTTGTTGAAATTCCTGTATGGCCTTCAAGCAGGTGCTATGAAGTAAAATAACATGCCCAAGGTATGTGCTACGGCCAAAGTGTGAGCCAAGCTCATCTGATTCTAGATCACATGCCTTTTTTCTTCATCATGGTGCTTCCCCTGGTTAATCATGTTTGATTCTTCTCTGTTCTTTGATTCACTGGGAGGGAGGAATCACATTTTCGAAGGCCCTTCCTAAGAATTTCAGTCCCCGAAGATGAACAGGAGGAGCCCGAAGAATGTGGCATGAAATGAAGACCAGGTTTCCCTCAAAACAGCCTCAGGTGAGCAGGGAGAAGAGGCAGCATAGGGATCTTGAAAAAGGAGGCCGGGAGGGAGGGGGTTGACCGGGCACCGCGTACCTGTGCAATGGTACAGGTACCATTCCAGTCTGTCGCGTGCCATGTTCTTTGGAGCCGCTAAGGCCTCTGCTGTGACCATTTCCACTGCACGACATGCAGTGGAAATTCTCTTCTTCTCTGCTCTCCTCTGAGATCGGCTGCTCTTCAGTGAAGCTTTCTTGGAAACCCCCACCCCAAGTCCCGTACGCACAGACACACCCAGACACAGGGACAGACACCCTGTGCCACACCCCAGACTTACAGCAGTGTTCCCAGGCACCCTCCTCACTCCCCCGGGGTCTTTTCCAAGCTGGACCTGAGGTTAAGTTTCTCTTCCTCCCTGGTGCTCAGCTCGGTGCCTTAGAGTCGTGAGTTCTGACTCACACCCATGGGGACTGTCCCCGGCCAAAGGGGACATGCGCTGGGCCGGGCCAGATGAGGGGTGACAACGATAAAGACAAGAACTCTCAAGGGGTTGAGGGTCAGGGACTCTCAGTGACCTGACATCTACCCTCTGTGCCACCTTGGCCATCTCTTACACACCGTGACTCAGTTTCCTCATCTGTAAATGGGAATGGCAGTCCTGCTCGCCCCCTCACAGGGCTGTTTTCAGGAAAAAAGTGGCAGGAGGCAGAGAAGGCTCAGGAGCCACCATCACTGAGGACATGATTCCATGTCCACCTTCTCTCAGCTTCTGTCCCCAACCAGCTTCATTTTTCTGCCAAGTGCTTACTACCTCCCAGACACGTTATATGTTTGGTTTTGCTCATTGCCTGGCTCCGCCCTTCTAGGAATATAAGCAGGATGAAGGCGGGACATGTTTTCTTCTCTGCTGTATACCAGCACCTAGGACCATGATGGGCACACACAGGAGGTCTCAAGCATTTCTCCAACAAACGAATGAATGACTAAATAAATACTGACTGACCGACTCATGGAGCACACATCTGGAAAAGACTTGATCAATGCTGACGAAATACTACACGTTGCTCTTTTATGGCAGGGATTTCAGGCATGTTTCATCTTTTGTACTGATCACAAAGTGATCAGCTGCTCGTGAATAAGACTCCTGAACTGATTTTTTTTTTTTTTTTTTTGAGACAGAGTCTCGCTTTGTTGTCCAGGCTAGAGTGAGTGCCGTGGTGTCAGCCTAGCTCACAGCAACCTCAAACTCCTGGGCTCAAGCAATCCTCCTGCCTCAGCCTCCCGAGTAGCTGGGACTATACAGGCATGCACCACGATGCCCAGCTAATTTTTTCTATATATATTAGTTGGCCAATTAATTTCTTTCTATTTATAGTAGAGACGGGGTCTCGCTCAGGCTGGTTTTGAACTCCTGACCTTGAGCAATCCGCCCGCCTCGGCCTCCCAAGAGCTAGGATTACAGGCGTGAGCCACAGCGCCCGGCCCTGAACTGATTTTTGATTTCACACTGGGTAGCACAGCAGTCCTCACCCCTGCACGTGGCAGGTCCCCGGACTCTCCGTTATGTAATTAACACGGCATTAACACGCATGCTCACTTACTGTTGGACTCATGCATTCCCAGAGTCCTCTAGAAAAGAAGGAATTTTCTATAAGAAAATCTATTGCTCTAATTGTTCAGCTGCCTAGATGCAGGTTTCCTCCAAGGCTAGCCTTTGACTGATCCGGGGGGTAGAGTTTTCCTACTTGTAAAGATGCATCTTTGGTGACCTATGGGAGCCTCCACCCACGTGGCAATGGTATCAGGTTTCCCCCTGCATGGAGAAGGAGGAGGAGGAGGATGAAGGTGCCCACAGGAAATAAGAGCCAAGGCTCTATACCCTCTTGCTGGACTCACACCTTCCTAGAAGTTCCTAAAAAAAAAAAAATCTTTTAAGGTACTATTAATAGCTTTGATCTCACCCTTAGCACTCTGTAAATGAATTTTCTTTTGTTAGCTCCCATCTACCTGGCTGTGGGCAGAAGTAAGACAAACTTGTGCAGAAGATAAAGCTAAAACTCCTAATTTTTATCATCATCAGAGAGTTACCTGTTCCACTTGCATGAAATCTCTAAATGAAAAAGCATCATTATACTCTGTCCAACGCATGGGCGAAATGTTTCAAGATTTAGTTTTAGGAAAGTAAATCTTCACTATAGTTTTCCTCATAATGAGACTAAAACATTTCAGCCAACCCCACCCACAATCCCAGTCCTAGGGCAAGCTTCCTGTACTATATTTTGCATGCACTAAATGCCCCCGGGGTGCTTTCATTTCTCCTATTTTTAAAAGGTCTTTGTGTCCCTTTTTTTCCCTCAATATCCAGTGGTGAGAAAAGTGATTTATGAACTGCCACGCTAGCACGACTCTGTCTTCCCACCATAAATCGGTGCCTTTATGATAAAACCTTTATCTTAAAAAACAGATAGCATCAACCATTACTGCTTTTTATGTCAATATCCTTTTATTTAAGGAGGACTCTGCTTTCATTATAAATCTTCACACACATATCAGTAGAAGACACATCCACGGCAAATGCCTTCGGCGAGGGGCAACGTGGCTGTGGTGGCCTTCTCGCTTCTAAGCAAGGGTAAAAATCCCTAAGTAAACACATTTCACAGGGGCTGTGGCTAAAGGACATTTTTCAAAGACCAGTGCCATTTGGTTGAAGTCAGCTCTGGAGGGCCACATACCTTTTCAATCAAAGCCACAGCTGCCGGGGTGAGAGAGCCCTGCCCCTAAGACCTCAGCCTTTATGTCCCAAGCAGGCAGCCGGTCACCTTGTCCATAGACCTGCTGCAAGCGTTAATCTCCAAGTCGGCTGCGTGGAACCCAAACAGCAAAAAGCAGAGCTATGGACGCTGGCGTGGTCACCAAAGTGCACTATTTTGAGAAGACAGGAATGCACCTTCCCCTCACTCCAATCCTCAGGCTGGGGACAAGGCAGAGTAAAGAAAAGAAGATGGAGATTTGGTTTGGGGAAGACTTCCTAGGCACCTTTTTTTTTTTTTAATTTTTTAATTTTTAGTAGGGAGGGAGTCTCGCTCTTGTTCAGGCTGGTTTTGAACTCCTGACCTTGAGAAATACTCCGGCCTCGGCCTCCCAGAGTGCTAGGATTAGAGGCATGAGCCACCACGCCCGCTAGGCACCTTTGTACTTAACTTGAGCAAAACACAAGATGAGAGTTTTCAGAAATTTACTGAGATTTGCATCAGCAGAGTCTTGATTGTGCCTAGCTCTCATCGACTAGCTGAATCGAAGAGAAGATATTAAAAAATCATAAAATAAAGCTTCAATTTAGCATCTTGTAACATATAATTATGAATAGATCATTCCAGCAATTAAGCTGCGAACTGTAATATATGCTTAGACTCTCAAAGCTCTTACAGCGCGAGCATCCAAAATCGTCGTATCTCTTCTCTGAAGCCTTTACACTA